GACACCCAAACGGGAGATCCTCTACTTCTCATAGGGGGTACACCCTACCACTGGGATATCCTTTACTTCTCATAGGGGGGTACACCCACAACTGGGATATCCTTTACTTCTCATGGGGGAGAACACCACAACACCAATCCATCCCACATAGAGGAGACCTCCCGAATCACACATTCTTCCATCATAATAAAGGAGAAACGCCACCACCACATACACCCACCACATCCACCTCAAAGAAGAGAGGACATCGCACCATCAGCCACCCACATAAAAAAAAGGGAACACCCCAACACAATCCACCCCACATAAAGAAAGAAAAACCCCACCACCATCCATCAGCACATAAAAGAGGACACCCCACCACCATCATCCCCACATAGAGGAGACTCCTGAATTCAACAAATTCTCCTTTCATAATAAAGGGAGGAGAAAAAACAACCACACCACCACATCCACCTCAAGGAGAGAGGACATCACACCACCAATCCACCCAACATAGAAAGAGGACATCACACCACCATCCACCCCACATAGAGAGGACATTCGCACCACCAGCCATCCCCACAATAAAAGAGGGCACACCACCACCATCAAGACTCACATAGGAGAGGAACAATCCACCACCATCCGTCTCACACAGCGAGAACACCCACCAACATTCCGCCTCACATAGAGAGAACACCCCCACCACATTCACTCAAATAGAGAGGACATCCCACCACCATCCACCCCACATAGAGAGGACATCGCACCACCATCCATCCCCACATAGAGGGAGACCTCCTGAATCAACAACATTCTCCACTCATAAATAAAGGAGAAAAACACACACCTCAAGGTGAGAGGAAATCACACCACCATCACCCCCAATAGAGAGGACATCACACCTCATCCAGCCCACATAGAGGAGGACATCGCACCACCAGCCACCAACCACATAAAGAGGGCACCCCACCACCATCAAAAACATAGAGAGGACACTCCACCACATTCCGTCTCACACGGAGAGAACACCCCACACATCCGCCTCACAGAGAGAAAACACCCCACCACCTATTCACTCAAATAGAGAGGAACATCCCACCACCAATCCACCCACATAGAGAAGGACATCCCACCAAGATCCACCCCACATAGAGTGAGGACATTGCACCACCAACTACCCCACATAAAGAGGGCACCCACACCATCAAAACTCAAAACATAGAGATAAACATCCACCACCATGCACCTCACATAGAGAAGACACCTCCACCACCATTCACCTCAAATAGAGAGGACACCCCACCACCATCCAACCACCACAGAGAGGACACTCCACCACCATTCACCTCAAAATAGAGAGGGATCACACACACCACATCCACCTCACATTAGAGAGGACACTCACCACACCATCCGTCTCACACGGACGAGAACACCCCATCCACCATCCGCTCACAGAGAGAGAAAGCACCCCACCACCATCACCTCAAATTGAGGAGGGACATCTCCACCACCATCCACCCACATAGAGAGGACATCCCACTCACCATCCACCCCACCATAGAGAGGACATTGCACACCACCAACCCACCCCACATAAGAGGGCACCCCCCACCATCAAACTCACATAGAGAGAACACTCCAACACCATGCACCTCACATAGAGAAGACACCTCACCACCATTCACTCAAATAGAGAGGACACCCCACCACCATCCAACCCACCAGAGAGGACACTCACCACCATTCACCTCAAATAGAGAGGACACCACACACCATCCAACCTCACATAGAGAGGGGACACATCACCACCATTCACTCAAATAGGGAGGACACCCCACCATCACCTCACACAGAAGAGGACACCCCACCACCATCCACCTCACATTAGTGAGGACGCCCCACCACCATCTACCTCACACAGATAAGGGGACACCCACACCACCATCCACCCCACATCAGAGAGGATGCCCCACCACCATCCACCCACACAGAGAGGACGTCCCGCCCAACACCTTCCACCCCACACAGAGAGGACGTGGGGGACCCGCCACCATCCTCCTCAGCATAGATGAGGACACCCACCACCATCCTCCTCCCATAGAGATGACACCCCACCATCATCCGCCTCCACATAGAGAAGACACCTCACCACCATCCTCCTCAAAAGATTGAGGACACCACACCACCATCCACCCACTCAGAGAGGGGGACACCCCAACCACATCACCTCACATAGTGAGGACACCCACTACCATCTACCTTACAGAGAGGATGCCTTACCACCATTCACCCACACAGAGAGGATGCCTCACCACCATTCACCCCATACAGAAGAGGACATCCCAACACCATCCACCTCACATAGAAAGGACACCCACCACCATCCTCCTCATAGGAAAGGACACCCACCACCTTCTAACTCACATAGTTGAGAAGAACCTTACCACATCCACCTCAAAAGAGAGCACACCCACCATGGCACCCCACACAGAGAGGGGAACCCCACACCAGACCATTCCAATTAGAACACCCTACCATCATCTGACTCACATAGAGAGGACCACTCCCTCCCCCTCAAACATCTCACCCAAAACACAGAGGAAACACCTCCACACACCACCCACCTATCATAGAGGAAAAACGCTACCATCATCTGACGCACAGAGAGTGGACACCCACCACCATTCATCTTCCACTCAGGGAGGACTCACCCAACATAGATGAGAAACCCCACCACCCTCCACCCCATATAGATGAGGACACCCCCTCACCACTCTCGCCACCTCACAGCACTCATAAAGGGAAAACCACCTCACCTACCACATAGAGAGAGAAACCCTCCACCCCACATAGAGGAGAGAGAGAAACCCCTCCCCACATAGAGGAGAGACCCCCCACCACACATTGCAAAACCATCCATCCTTCCTTAGAAGGAGATATCCCACCACCACATCACCATCCACCTCACATAGAGGTGACGTCCACCATCAGGACCCTGATCACACCCATTTATCAATGACACACTGAACCACTCCGACACATGCAGTCCTCAAAAAGGAGACACCCGCCCACCCATGAGGACACAGCCATAGGAGAGGAGAAACCCAACCAGTACTGCATCATCCACCCCAGAAAGGAGACATCCCGTTCCCATGTTGTCACCTACCCCCACTGAGGAGGACACAGCACTTCCGTAAAACCCAATACCAAAATATCTGGAAGGAGAGGAGTTGGGGAGTGGTGTCATGTGGTAGAATTGGTAATATGATCAGATTGGTGATGATGGACATTGAAATCTGAAACATCTTCTTATATAATTAGAGATCGTTCCTCCCAATATAATATCACCGAACCAACACAATCCCGTGACATATCTCTGGTCACCTGACCCAAGCGGCCATCACTGACCATCGCAGAGCCAACCACATCCCGTGACATATCTTCTGGTCACCTGACCCATGGCGGCCATCACTGACCATGGCAGAGCCAACACATCCCCGTGACAATATCTTTCTGGTCACCTGACCCAAGCGGCCATCATGACCATGGCAGAGCCAACACATCCCGTGACATATCTTCTGGTCACCTGACCCAAGCGGCCATCACTGACCATCGCAGAGCCAACACACATCCCGTGACATATCTTCTGGTCACCTGACCCAAGCGGCCATCACTGTGACCATCGCAGAACCAACACATCCCGTGACATATCTTCTGGTCACCTGACCCAAGCGGCCATGCCACTGACCATCGCAGAACCAACACATCCGTGACAATATCTTCTGGTCACCTGACCCCAAGCGGCCATCACTGACCATCGCAGAGCCAACACATCCCGTGACATATCTTCGGGTCACCTGACCCAAGCGGCCATCACTGACCATGGCAGAGTGCCAACACATCCCCGTGACATATCTTCTGGTCACCTGACCCAAGCGGCCATCACTGACCATCGCAGAACCAACACATCCCGTGACATATCTTCGGGTCACCTGACCCAAGCGGCATCACTGACCATCGCAGAACCAACAACAATCCGTGACATATCTTCGGGTCACCTGACCCAAGCGGCCATCACTGACCATCGCAGAGCCAACACATCCCGTGACATATCTTCGGGTCACCTGACCCAAGCGGCCATCACTGACCATCGCAGAGAACCAACACATCCCGTGACATATCTTCTGGTCACCTGACCCAAGCGGCCATCACTGACCATCGCAGACCAACACATCCCGTGACATATCTTCCGGTCACCTGACCCAAGCGGCCATCACTGACCATCGCAGTCCTCAGAGGGGGGAATTACTTCAATTCACAAATTTTAGTGAAAATGGAGGGAAGGTTCCCCCCCCCCCCCCCCAACAACCATAGCAACTGCCACCCCTGACTGCAGCTGCCAAATGCATCCCATCTGTTACAGAGCAAAAATAGTCATCTCTATGTTACTGCATGCCAGAATACCCAGAATGCCGATATCACATCCTGTGCATGCCAAGAGGGAGGTGGTACTGTGCACACAGATACCGGAGAATGACACCCGGCATCCGGGACAGGAGAAGTGGGGGGGGGGACTGTGCAGAGTCCATACATACAGAACAGGGACAGATACCGAGAATGACACCCGGCATCCGGGACAGGAGAAGTGGGGGACTGTGCAGAGTCCATACATACAGAACAGGGACAGATACCGAGAATGACACCCGGCATCCGGGGACAGGAGAAGTGGGACTGTGCAGAGTCCATACATACAGAATAAGGACAGATACCGAGAATGACACCCAGACGTGGTATACTTGGACAAAGGGGGGGCTGTGGATGTGTTATACTTGGGACAGAGGAGTTGTGGTGGACGTGGTACACTTGGACGGGGGGGGAGGTGGACGTGGTATACTTGGACGGGGGGGGGTAGCGGTGGACGTGGTATACTTGGACAGAGGGGTGGCGGTGGACGTGGTATACTTGGAACAGAGGGGTGGCGGTGGATGTGGTATACTTGGACAGAGGGGGTGGCGGTGGACATGGTATACTTGGACAGAGGGGTGGCGGTGGACGTGGTATACTTGGACAGAGGGGTGGCGGTGGACGTGGTATACTTGGACAGAGGGGTGGGCGGTGGGATGTGGTATACTTGGACAGAGGGGGGGCGTGTGGACGTGCCTCTGGTATACTTGGACATCGGGTGAGGTGGCAGTGGACATAGTATACTTGGACAGAGGGTGGCGGTGGACATGGTATACTTGGACAGAGGGGTGGCGGTGGATGTGGTATACTTGGACAGAGGGGTGCGCGGTGGACGCGGTATACTTGGGACAGAGGGGTGGCGGTGGATGTGGTATACTTGGACAGAGGTGGTGGTGGACGCGGTATACTTGGACAGAGGGGTGGCGGTGGACATGGTATACTTGGACAGAGGGGTGGCGGTGGACGTGGTATACTTGGACAGAGGGGTGGTGGTGGACGTGGTATACTTGGACAGAGGGGTGGTGGTGGTACGCGGTATACTTGGACAGAGGGGTGGTGGTGGACGTGGTATACTTGGACAGAGGGGTGGTGGTGGACGCGGTATACTTGGACAGAGGGGTGGTGGTGGACGTGGTATACTTGGACGGGGGGGTGGTGGTGGATGTGGTATACTTGGACAGAGGGGTTGTGGTGGACGTGGTATACTTGGACAGAGGGGGTGGCGGTGGATGTGGTATACTTGGACAGAGGGGTGGCTGTGGACGCGGTATACTTGGACAGAGGGGGTGGCGGTGGACATGGTATACTTGGACAGAGGGGTGGCGGTGGATGTGGTATACTTGGACAGAGGGGGGGGCGGTGGACGTGGTATACTTGGACATCGGGGGTGGCAGTGGACATAGTATACTTGGACAGAGGGGTGGCGGTGGACATGGTATACTTGGACAGAGGGGTGGCGGTGGATGTGGTATACTTGGACAGAGGGGTGGCGGTGGACGCGGTATACTTGGGACAGAGGGGTGGCGGTGGATGTGGTATACTTGGACAGAGGGGTGGTGGTGGACGCGGTTATACTTGGACAGAGGGGGTGGCGGTGGGACATGGTATACTTGGGAGGAGGGGTGGCGGTGGACGTGGTATACTTGGACAGAGGGGTGGTGGTGGACGTGGTATACTTGGACAGAGGGGGGTGATGGGGTGGACGCGGTATACTTGGACAGAGGGGTGGTGGTGGACGTGGTATACTTGGACAGAGGGGTGGTGGTGGACGTGGTATACTTGGACAGAGGGGGACTGTGGCCGTGGTATACTTGGACAGAGGGGTGGCGGTGGACGTGGTATTTTTGGACAGAGGGGTGGTGGTGGTCTTCTTCTTCCTCTGATCCTCCTCCTCCTCTCTTCTTCTTCCTCTGATCTGCCTCCTCCTCTTCTCTTCTTCCTCTGATCCTCCTCCTCCTCTCTTCTTCTTCCTCTGATCCTCCTCCTCCTCTCTTCTTCCTCTGATCCTCCTCCTCCTCTCTTCTTCCTCTGATCCTCCTCCTCCTCTCTTCTTCCTCTGATCCTCCTCCTCCTCTCTTCTTCCTCTGATCTGCCTCCTCCTCTCTCTTCTTCCTCTGATTCCTCCTCCTCCTCTCTTCTTCCTCTGATCTGCCTCCTCCTCTCTTCTTCCTCTGATCCTCCTCCTCCTCTCTTCTTCCTCTGATCCTCCTCCTCTCTCTCTCTCCTCTGATCCTCCTCCTTCTCTCTTCTTCTCTCTGATCCTCCTCCTCCTCTCTTCTTCCTCTGATCCTCCTCCTCCTCTCTTCTTCCTCTGATCCTCCTCCTCCTCTCTTCTTCCTCTGATCCTCCTCCTCCTCTCTTCTTCCTCTGATCTCCTCCTCCTCCTCTCTTCTTCCTCTGATCTCCTCCTCCTCTTCTTCTTCCTCTGATCTCCTCCTCCCTCTCTTCTTCCTCTGATCCTCCTCCTCTCTCTTCTTCCTCTGATCCTCCTCCTTCTCTCTTCTTCCTCTGATCCTCCTCCTTCTCTCTTCTTCCTCTGATCCTCCTCCTCCTCCTCTCTTCTTCCTCTGATCCTCCTCCTCCTCTCTTCTTCCTCTGATCCTGCCTCCTCCTCTCCTCTCTTCCTCTGATCCTCCTCCTTCTCTCTTCTTCCTCTGATCCTCCTCCTCCTCTCTTCTTCCTCTGATCCTCCTCCTCCTCTCTTCTTCCTCTGATCTGCCTCCTCCTCCTCTCTTCTTCCTCTGATCTGCCTCTCCTCCTCTCTTCTTCCTCTGATCCTCCTCCTCCTCCTCTCTCTTCTTCCTCTGATCCTCCTCCTCCCTCTCTTCTTCCTCTGATCCTCCTCCTCCTCTCTTCTTCCTCTGATCCTCCTCCTCCTCTCTTCTTCCTCTGATCTCCTCCTCCTCCTCTCTTCTTCCTCTGATCTTCCTCCTCCTCCTCTCTTCTTCCTCTGATCCGCCTCTCCTCTCTTCTTCCTCTGATCCTCCTCCTCCTCTCTTCTTCCTCTGATCTGCCTCCTCTTCTTCTCTTCTTCTCTGATCCTCCTCCTCTCTTCTTCTTCTGATCCTCCTCCTCCTTCTTTTCCTCTGATCCTCCTCCTCTTCTTCTTCCTCTGATCCTCCTCCTTCTCTCTTCTTTCTGATCCTCCTCCCCTCCTCTCTTCTTCCTCTGATCCTCCTCCTCCTCTCTCTTCTTCCTCTGATCCTCCTCCTCCTCCTCTCTTCTTCCTCTGATCTTCCTCCTCCTCCTCTCTTCTTCCTCTGATCTTCTGCCTCCTCCCTTCTTCTTCCTCTGATCGCCTCCTCTTCTTCTTCTTCTTACTGTCTGATGCTGCCTCCTCCTCCTCTCTTCTTCCTCTGATCTGCCCTCCTCTCTTCTTCTTCTCTGATTCTCCTGTCCTCCTCCTCTCTTCTTCCTGATCTGCTTCCTCCTTCTCTCTTCTTCCTCTGATCGCCTCCTCCTCCTCTCTTCTTCCTCTGATCCTCCCTCTCCTCCTCTCTTCTTCCTCTGATCTTCCTCCTCTTTCTCCTCTCTTCTTCCTCTGCTGCCTCCTCCTCCTCTTCTTCCTCTGATCTGCCTCCTCCTCCTTTCTTCTTCTTCCCTGGCTCTTGGTTGTTTCTCAGGTCCCCCCCCCTCAATGTTTCTGTCAGTTGATCAGCAGGAATTTGTTCGATCTTCCCGGCACGATTTCCTCTTGTAGGACAAGTTGTTGGGAGGAAGCCGTAATCTCTGCACTTGGTTGTGTTGTGACACCTCAGGAGTGACACCAGGCTGGGATCTCGCCTTCTGCCGCTCTTGGCTTTTGCTGATGATTTTCCATTTTTCTTTTTTGTGAAATTGAACATATTGAATGAGAAGATTTGACGACTTCCGGCAGAGTCCGCTCCTCGCACAGGCCCCGCCCTTCTACTTTACATCCCTCTCCTTATCTTATTGTGTCAGTGCTGGCCCAGCTCCTGCCTCCTTGAACATCACAGCCTTCTCCTTTCTGGGGGTGTGTCTACTTACTGTCTGTGCTGGCCCAGCTCCTCCCTTCTTACATGCCACAGCCCTTCTCCTCTTCTTTCAGCATCTAATTACTGTCTGTGCTGGCCCAGCTCCTCCCTTCTTACATGCCATAGCCCTTCTCCTCCTTTTTCAGCATCTAATTACTGTCTGTGCTGGCCCAGCTCCTCCCTTCTTACATGCACAGCCCTTCTCCTCTTCTTTCTTTCAGCATCTAATTACTGTCTGTGCTGGCCCAGCTCCTCCCTTCTTACATGCCACGCAGCCCTTCTCCTCTTCTTTCAGCATCTAATTACTGTCTGTGCTGGCCCAGCTCCCCTCCCTTCTTACATGCCACAGCCCTTCTCCTCTTCTTTCAGCATCTAATACTGTCTGTGCTGGCCCACTGGCCCACCTCCTCCCTTCTTACATGCCACAGCCCTTCTCCTCTTCTTTCAGCATCTAATTACTGTCTGTGCTGGCCCAGCTCCTCCCTCCTTACATGCCACAGCCCTTCTCCTCTTCTTTCAGCATCTAATTACTGTCTGTGGTGGCCCAGCTCCTCCCTCCTTACATGCCACAGCCTTTCCCTCTTCTTTCAGCATCTAATTACTGTCTGTGAGGGCCCAGCTCCTCCCTTCTTACATGCCATAGCCCTCTCCTCCTCTGGATGAGTGTCTATTTACTTCTGTGCTGGCCCAGCTCTTCTGCCTTTCCGCCCACATATAATCTTACAGGGAGAGTGTTGTGACAGGGTCTCTTTACTTCATAGACATCAGGTTCCAGGTCACATGACCTCGTGCCGCGGCAGTCAAAGTGACCATAACTGGTGATGCACGCCATGTGACCCGGCGGTGGGTTTGGGTCACGTGACCAGGATTGTTCCTCACCGCTGAGCTCTGCGTCCCGGACAGATCTGAGATATAAAATCTGGACCGCATTTCTGCAGGACCCCAAAATCTTCCCGTTTGTGTAACAATCTGCCGTGAGAGGGCCACATCCACCCGCATGATGGGGCCACATCCACCCATGAGGGCCACATCCACCCACATGAGAGCCATGATGGGCCACATCCACCCGCATGAGGGCCACATCCAACCGCATGAGGGCCACATCCACCGCATGAGGGCCACATCCACCCGCATGAGGGCCACATCCACCCGCATCCACCCGCATGAGGGTCACATCCACCCGCACTCACCCCCAGTGCCGGCCAGACCGATGGACGGGGGCCCCGGAGGAGAGAATGAGACAGGAAGGGACATGTTGTGCCCGGGAGACTCTTCGCAGCTTTTCTGTAAATAGGAGAGGCGACACTTTCCTCCCGCCGCGCTTCACACCCATTACAGGTCGGGGGGGGGGGGGGCGGTAAAATGGATGAGTCAACGCTGAGAGACACGTGAAGTGCCGTATACATCATATGTGTTTTATATATATACACGCTATATTGCCAAAAGTATTGGCCCCGCCCCCCCCTCCCAATCCACGTGATTCAGGTGTTCCAATCCCCCCAATCATGTGATTCAGGTGTTCCTCCCCTCCATATCATGTGATTCAGGTGTTCCAATCCCCTCCCATATCATGTGATTCAGGTGTTCCAATCCCCTCCCAATCATGTGATTCAGGTGTTCCAATCCCCCTCTCCAATCATGTGATTCAGGTGTTCCAATCCCCTCATATCATGTATCATCCCCTCCATATTCATGTGTCAGGTGTTCCAATCCCCTCCATATCATGTGATCAGGTGTTCCAATCCCCTCCCAGGTGATTCAGGTGTTCCAATCCCCTCCATATCATGTGATTCAGGTGTTCCAATCCCCTCCATCATGTGATTCAGGTGTTCCAATCCCCTCCATGGACACAGGTGTATACAATCAAGCCCCTAGTCATGCAGACGGCTTCTACAAACATTGGTGAAAGAATGGGTCGCTCTCAGGAGCTCAGTGGCTCCAAGCGTGGTCCCGTGATAGGTGGCCACCTGGGCAATAAGTCCATCCGTGACATTTCCTGGCTACTAAATATTCCACGCTCAACTGTTAGTGGGATTATAACAAAGTGGAAGCAACTGGGAACAACAGCCACTCAGCCACCAAGTGGTAGGCCACGTCACATGACAGGGCGGGGTCAGCGCATGCTGAAGCGCACAGTGCGCAGAAGTCGCCAACTGTCTGCAGAGCCAATAGCTAAAGACCTCCAAACTTGGTGTGGCCTTCAGATGAGCCCAACAACAGTGTGTAGAGAGCTCCATGGAATGGGTTTCCATGGCCGAGCAGCTGCATCCAAGCCTTCCATCACCAAGTGCAATGCAAAGCGTCGGATGCCGTGGTGTAAAGCACGCCGCCACTGGACTCTAGAGCAGGGGAGACGTGTTCTCTGGAGGGACCAATCACGCTTCTCTGTCTGGCAATCCGATGGACGTGTCTGGGTTTGGCTGTGGCCAGGAGAACGGTACTTGCCTGACTGCATTGTGCCAAGTGTAAAGTTTGGTGGAGGGGGGA